GCCGCCGCCGGGCCCGCACTCGCCCGCGCAGCTCGACGACGCGGCGCGCGGCGCCGTCGCCGAGCTCCCGGACGCGCCGCCGCCGCCGCCGCCGAAGCGCGCCGCGGGCAAGGGCGGCCGCGGCCGCGGCGGCCGCGGCCGCGGCCGCGGCGCCGGGCGCGGCCCGCCGCCGCCGCGCGACGCGGCCGCGGCGCCGCCCGCCCGGGGCCGGCCCGCCGACGGCCGCGAGGACGGCGCCGCGGCGGCGGCGCCGCCCGCCAAGGGCCGCCTCGCCAAGGGCCGCGACCGGCCGCCCGCCGCCAAGGGCCGGGGCCGCGGCGGCAAGGCGCCCCGGGCCGCCGGCGACCCGCCCGCGCCGGACGCGAAGGGCCGCGGCCGGGGAGGCGGCCGGGGCCGGGGCCGCGGCGGCCGCGGCGGCCGCGCGGGCCGCGCGATCGCGCCCCCCGCGCCGCCGCCCCCGGGGCCGTGACCGCCCGCTCGTACGGTCCCCCTTTAGAGCTCCCAGAAGGAGCGCTGCTCGTCGACGGCCGCGCGGAGGAGCTCCCGGCACACGTTCGTCTTGGCCATGTCCTCGTTCGAGCCGCCCTTCTTGTCCGGGTGGTCGACCAAACTCCGCTTCCGGTACGCCTCGTCGACGGCGTCCGCGGTGAGCGCGTCCTCCGCGAGGCCGAAGCGGCCCGCGCACTCGCGCACGGCGGCGAGCGGGCTCGTCGAGCCGAAGAAGCCGCCGCGACCGAAGGTCCGCGACGCCGCCTCGTTGCCGACGGCGCCGCCGACGGCGTAGCCGACGACGCCGCCGGCGACGCGCGCGAACGTCGACGCGCGCGACCGGCATCGCTCGGAGTCGCCGCAGAACCGGGCGCCGACGCGGTCCGCGAACGCCGACGCCAGCGAGTAGCCCGCGGCGCCGCCGCCGAGCCCGCCGACGACGCCGCCGGCCGCGCGCACGACGGCGCAGTGGACGGCGTCGAACGCGTCGCCACCGGGATCGACGCCGGAGTGGACCCACTCGCGGATGCGCGCGACCGTCTGCGGCGTCAGCGCGCACGGCATGTCGACGCTCGCGACGGGCGCGAGGAACAGAAAGAAACGCCACCACCGTGCCATCGTCCTCCACCCCGCAGCGTTCGCGGCCCTGCAGGTCCGACCGCCCGGGGCTGCCTTGACGATGCCGGGCGGATTCAGTTGAGGGTCAACCAAATTAGTGTGGCGGCGGCAAGTTGAGGGGGGTCGGTGGCGCCCTCGGCGCCCTCGGCGCCCTCGGGACGAGGGCGCCGCCCCCTCGTCCGACGCCCTCGGCTGAGGGATTTTCCCCTCGTCCGAGGGAGCCGAGCGTCCGAGGGTCCGAAATGGCCGAGGGCGCCGAGGGCGCCGACGGCCGCTGATTGGCCAGGCACGCCCGGCGCGCTCGAACCGTGACTGCAAATCTCTGGCCATCCGTCGTTGGAAGGTTATGAGGGGGCGCGGCAGCCCAAAGGCGCAGCCCTTGGGCGTCCCTGGGCGCGCCGTGGGTGCCGGCATTGA